GATTAAATCTAGGATAGCAGATCCTCTGGTTCCCACCTCCACCTTCTGAGATATGAAGTTGTCGGCAAGACTATTCAAGAATCTGCGGGATGCCCCATGTCTAGCAGAGTTAGATTTCCATCAAATATGAAATCTCCCATAACCACAACATCCTGTCTCTGTGAAAGTTTATCAGGCTGTTGTACAAATGCATCATCCAAATGCATCATTGGAGGTCTGTAGTATACCCCCACAACAATATCCCCTTCTTTTTTCCCTCCCTCTATCCTTACCCACACACTTTCAACAGGGCAACTCTCGAAATCCTGAATTTCAGTGCAAGTGTATTTATTCTTGACATATAGTGCCACCCCCCTCCTTTTTTGTTTATTCTGTTCCATTTGAACAAGATATATCCTTCAATCGCTGTGCTCCATATATGAGACTCATCCCACCAAGTCTCAGTGATACCTATCAGATCATACTTACTTTCCAATATTTGAAGTTCAAGTTCCTCTAGTTTATTTCCCATACGCTGTGCATTAGTATAAAGACATCTCAGATTACAGACATCCTTTCCTACTATAGGTCCCTTCAAATTTACCTGAAAATTACTGAACTCACCTCTCTCCCGTTCATTTATTCTCTGGTCACTCCCTTTCTTGAACTTAGTGTTGGGGTTGCCACACAACATCAGACTTTTTCTTCCCACCCCCTATGGCTTCAGTTTAAAGCCCTTCTGATCAGGTTTGCAAGTCTTCCAGCAAAGACATTCCTCCCATTCCTTGTAAGGTGCACCTCATCCATTGCTAACAGTCCTTCATGTTGGAGGTATATACCATGGTCCAGGAAGCCAAATCCCTCTCGATGGCACCATCTACATAACCAGCCATTCACCTCCAGTATCCTTCTCCCTTCCAGTTCCATGGCCCTCAACAGGTAAAATGGAGGAGAACACCACCTGTGCCCCCAGATCTTTCACCTTCTTGCCCAGAGCCTCGTAGTTTTTGGAGATCCATTCAAGGTTTCTTCAGGATGTATCATTTGTTCCCACATGGATCAGCAGGAGTGGGTAGCAATCAGAGGTTTTGACCAGTCTTGGAATTTTCTCAGTCACATTTCGGATACACGCTCCAGGAAGACAACAAACCTCTCGAGATTCCTTGTCCAGTTTGCACACAACTTCTTCCATCCCTCTCAGTAGGGAGTCCCCAACCACCACTACTCGTCTCTTCCTCAGTGGGATAGCTTGGTTCCTTCTCTGCTTATGTGTTTGTGTGTCAGTCACATCCTTTTGATCTCGGAGTGTGCTATTCTTCCACCATCAGAAGCGGCTGGTAGCGATTTTGCAGCTCCACTGGCTGTGAGTATTTCCTGATTATCTTACTCCTTGTCACATTCTTCTACTCACCCACCTGTTCCTTGTTACTTCCTTCCTCTTGCTTAGGATTTGCTAGCTCTTGCTGTTCTCTTAGGAGCCCCTCTTCCTTCATGTCAAAAAACCTTCCTCCCTCCCTGATGTTCCTCAGTGTACAGATTTGTGCCTCGAGTTCTCCGTCTTCTCCTCAAACATTCTTATAAGTTTGCACTTGCAGCATGTATAATGCATTTCTTGGCAAGGCAGAAAAATGATCATGGCACAACTCTGGCAAGTCACTGGAATAGATCCTTTGTTATCCGTCTCCCTAGAAGCAATTCTATGTTCTACAGCCTCAGGAACTTCTGTCAAAGTTCGACGTCAACTCTTGTTGTGGTGATGTACCCTGGAGAGTGCACTGATCCTGCTTCCCGGAAGTGTGCACACTAGAGTCCCAAAACCTGTGTGTTTCGCCATGTAAAACATGTTCAGAAAATGATCTTTGGGCCTTGTTAAAAGCCTTAATAAACAAATCATGTTACTATTTAAAACAAAAACTAGATAGTCTGTTTGTCTT